CTCCCGCAGCCCCTGGCGACAGGGAGCTTTGATGGGGCGGCAGGACCCCTGGCGAGGCGCAGGCCGCCTCCGCCGGGAGCGAGGGAGGAGCGGAAGGCCGAGGCTCCGGCTTCGAAGGAGGGGGGAAAGTGACCCCTGCTTCTCTCCCCCCTGGAGGTGGGACAGCTGCACGAAGTACTAGTTAGACCGGATCAGTTGGAACTGACGGAGGATTGTAAGGAAGAAACGAAAATAGACGCCGAAAGCCTGTCCACCGCGCCGCAGCTGGACCAAGCCCTCCGACAGGTGACAGCCCGGGGCTCTGCCGCGCACCCCGGATTCCGCGGCCCGGCCCAACCCCGCGAGTGTCTCTAGGGCGGGGTGGCGAGACGCCCGCCGCGTGGGTGGGAGCCCAGCTTGGGGGCCCGGTGGACGGTTCGGGAGCGGGTCGCTGCTCCATTTCGCCTCCAAGCCCCCAGAGTCTCGCGGTGAAATCCAGTGGGTTTTCGAGTTGCCGCCTTAGTAGTTCCTGGGGCCAGAGGGTCCGCTGCGTTCTTCCAAACGAGTGACGAGCAGTTTGAATCCCAGCTCCTCTCTGTCCAGGTCTAGACCCCAACTCGCGTGTCCCCTGCCAAGGTCTTGGTCTGCGTCTCTGCCTCCGGGTAGAGGGCGCTGTGGTACGCCTGCGCCCGCCACAGTTCTGCTGGGACCCTGAAGGTGTCTGCCTGAGCCAGGCTTCTGAGCTCCCAAAGAAAGGCTCTGTTCCATCATTGCTTCTTAGTGGCCTTAGTCCCAGCGCCGGGGAGGGTTTGCAGGTCCGAACATGTAGGACTGCTCGTTGGGTCACCGTGGAAGTGACGGAATCTCCTTTTTGAAATTGAGGTGACCTAAAAACCGGCTGCTCTGCGTGCTGACAGGTGCCGGATTCGAGATAGGGCGGGGCGTTCAACACCTGTGCAAGATCCGTACCCTGCGCTCTCACGGCCTCTGCCCTAGCACACGAGTTTCTAATGATAGGAGAAAAAGTGATAGTTTCTGGAATGTATTCCAGAAACGTGTCGCTGCACTTTCCAGAGGTCTGCGTACCCGTTACCCACATTCGTTTATCAGAAACGGGTATCTTTTTAAAGCCTGACACCTGGAAAGGAACACCAGGGAATGATGTAATCGGAAGGCAACGTGCTGATGAAACACAACCTCTGACTTCAGGATGAATTTCTATAAAAATAGAAGGGGGCATAGTCAGGAGAATGCATTGACTAGCTTCTCCGGAGCACTAACTGCCTATTGGTTGGACATTCTTCTACCTAAAGGCAGCTAGACTGTCTGGGAAAGGAGTCAGTCTGTTATGTCGCCCTGCACGGTGCCCTCTGCGGGCGATTTTCTCTCCTTGTCGCCAAGTGGGGTCACTTTGCAGTTTGTCGACCCTACATCAATTGCATGCTTGTGTCTTGTTCTTTCAGTTTAACCAGTCAGTGAGCAATGAACTGAATATTGGGGTGGGGACTTCTTTCTGTCTCTGTACCGACGGGCAGCTTCATGTCAGGCAGCTCCTGCACCCCGAGGCTTCCAAGAAGGTAAGAGTGCTGGCTTCTGGAAAAACAGGTGGACCCTTGGGGTAATGGAAGGGTGTTTCTTGTTGTTGTTTGTTAGCCATGCTTTATCTGGAGTTTCTCTATTTTTCAAAAGCTACATGGGGAATGTTGTTAATGGGTACAAAATTTCAGTTCTGGAAAATGAGAAAGCTGTGGACATTGATGGTGATGATGACAGACTATGTCAATGTACTAAATGGCACTGAACTGTACACTTAAAGATGGTTAAAATGGTAAATTTAAATATGGATATTTTACCACAATAAAAAAAATGCATGGCAATTTCATGCAGATGTGTAGAATTGCAGAATTTTATAGACACCCACGGGTGGCCTAAAAGTCTGTCTCTATTTACTTCAAGTTTTCAAGATACTTGACATTCTTCCTTTGCAAAAGCTAATAGGGGTCTGAGTTTTTGATATTTAAAATAACTGCAAGTAGGGAGAAAGAACTGTATCTAAGTACTTTGTGATATTCCTATTTGAGTTGAAAGTGTTTTCTTCTAGAAAAGGGGCAAAAAGTTTCAAGTAAAACTTTAATCGTATTTCTAATCATTTCATTAAGACTATTTAAATAAGACTTAACCATGTAACTAGCAAACTACTAATTATAGCTTGCAGCTTTGTCTGATGTTAACTAACTGTTTGAAACTGACATTTTCTCAATAGGGTAAGCTCCACCTTTTAAATGTGCTCATTTTCTGATAATGGGAACGATTATGGAGTGAGGAAGTGCTCTTACTGCTTGTAGTGGGATTCTATACCTGGGGAAGAGGAGAGAGGGGCTGTGGGGAAATGAAGAGCGTGAACAGCCAGCCCACTGGAGCCAGCCTTTGCTAAAACAGTTACACAATTGAAATTAGTTTGACCTGTGACTTTATATTGTGGTTGGCAGGTACTGAACTTGAAAGGTGGAAATAGGATTACTGAGATAACTGTATGGGGCAAGTCTTGCAGTGAAAGATTCAATAGATTGACAATTGATGACACAAGCCAGGTGTGTAGTCAGATGGATTTTACTTTTTATTCTCTCAAGTAGGGATAGGCAGGAAGTAAGTCCGCTATATAAGGACCGTTTTCAAAATTTGAAGGAGTAACTAAAGTTCCTATGATTTCAGGGCTGAGAGAAATCACTCTTGCCAGAGGAGCCTTAGTAATTACTTGATGAAAGGGAGAGGGAAGCACCTTTTTATTAAATGCTGGACCAGTCGTGATACCCTGGGTCTATAAATAAATACATAAAACATATGGAGAGGGACAAGATTTACTCCTTTCCCTGTTGGGCTAGAGGAGAATAGCTGTTTTCATTATTTTCAATGGATGGACTGCTTTGTATGTGGGAAAACTTTCAGAGAAAAACTAAGATGTTTCCCTGAACCTCGTTTATAAGGATTTTGATTAAATACATGAAACTGAAAAAAATTTAGCATCATAACAAAAATAATTCTGTATAGTCATTGAAGAAAAATAGGGAAATGATAAAATATAAAGAAAATAACCCTGCCACTCAGAAAACAATATATTAAGATGTTTTTCCCTTTTTTAAAATTTTTAAAATTCCTTTTATTTTTTAAAAATATTTTTAAATTTTACTTTATTATTATTACTGTTGTTATTATTATTTTAATTTGACCAGAGAGAGAGAGAAATTGAGAAAGCAAGCTGCTGGGTCCAGGACTCAAACCATGGTCGGCCATGTGGGAATCCAGTGCCCTTAATCACCACACCACCTGCTGGCCCTAAAATGTTTTTCTCTAACATGAACCTATTTGGATATAGTCCACATTTCTGTAGAAAACTTTTTTACAAGGAGCATTTCAACCATACAAACTTTTAACCTACTTTATAATTTAATATAACAGTAACAGTTTTTATAAGCACTAGATAAAATAATATTGCAAATGAATATGATTATTTAAACCAATCTTTTATTGTTAAGCATAAGTTATTGTTTTATTAAAAATGCTTTTAAATAAACTCCATAGGTAATTGTGAGGAAATGTGATTCTTTGGTAATTAACTATTTTCAAAGCTGTGATCAAGATAAGATGTAGTGATACTGATTCCAAATAGAGCATGAGCAGATCACATCTAACAGAACCTAATAAAACAAATTTGTATAGGAGACATTACTGCATAAATATTTTTTAATTTAAAAAATTCATTTATATATTTTTAAAAATTTGACCAGAGAAGGACAGAGTGAGAGAAAGAGAGAGGAAAGAGGAAAAGTGAGAAAGTAAGCTGCAGGTCTGGGTCTTGAACCACAGTTGGCCACGGGGGAGTCCTGTGCCCTTAACCACTATGCCACCTTCCTGCCCCACTGCATAAATATTTAAGAAACGTCGAAAGTCTTTATTTCCTTGAATTTTCTAATGCACAGAAATTGTGTAAAAATTCCCAAGAAGTGAGTCTAAATTACTAGGTTCAGTGTGCAAGAAAAATTATTTTGAGTTATTCAGTGAAGGTTTTTCGGTTGTTCAGACAAAAAAAAGTGATAAAATAGTATAATCTTGGCTCAGATTGCTGAAATTTGTATAATAACCACAAGAGTGGTGAGGATAGCTAAGGATGGGAGGAGACCATTTTTACTTTGCCTTTAAGATTTGTGGTATATATATTTTAAATACAGCCTAATTTTAGTTCTACGGTATAGTCAGAACAGTGTTTCAGAAAACTAATGTGGGACTATATTTTGGTACAAAAATAATCCTTTTCAGTTATTTAGGAATTTATTATCCTGATTTAACTTAGTATTGAAAATATGCATGATCAGAACCTGATAGAACAACTAAAGTTTTTATTTTATTCATCATCATTATTTTATTTATTTATTTATTTATTTTTAAGTTGAACCAGAGAGAAACAGAGAGGGAAGGAAAATGAGAAAGTAAGCTGCCAGGTCCAGGACTTGAACCATGGTTCAGCCATGTGGGAGTCCAGCTGCTGTTGTAAAACAACTAAGTTTTACAACTTAGTCTTATGTCTAAACTTGTGCATCTGTATAAAGACCAAGAAGGTTGATATTGCTGCCTAAGAGCAGAAAACCTAAGATTATTGTAGTTGGAAAGAGGGGAACACCGCCACCTAGAAAATAGAAATGTAAGTAACCCAGATAAATCTGTTCTAGTTTCAGAACTGTTTTGACAGGAATGTGTAATGGAGCACAGATATGGTACTCTATTGTCTTAGAGTAAGATGAATTTTTTTCCCTGAGACTTGTATGTAGAATATGATAGAGTGACAGCAGCAGCTATTAGACATCCTTACATTAAATTTTAAATTTGTAAAAATTGTGGTAAAATATGCTTACATTCAATCCATAGGTTCTTAATTATTAATGAATCATGGCCAGAGATTCACATAGATAACAGCATCTACCTTGTCCCTCCTCAGAATGTATTACTACCTGAATGCTTCTATTCCTTTTTTGATCTTCGAAAAGAATTCAAGAAGTGTTGCCCTGGCTCACCTGATATTGACAAACTGGATGTTGCAGCAATGACAGAGTGTATCCTTTAAATGATTGTCCCAGCATCATTTGAAAAGATAGCTCCCAGAAAAAAAAAAAATAGTAGTTCAGGAAATGTTTAAACATTTTCAACTTTGTCACCATATGCAGAAATTGAACTTCTAAAATTTGTCTTCTGTGCCAGGAGTACAGTACAGTTATAGACTTTTTTTTTTTTTACTTTATTTATTTATCCATTTATTTAAATTTGACCAGAGAGGGACAGAGTGAGAAAGAGAAAGAGGGAAAGTGAGAAAGCAAGCCAACAGGTCTGGGATTCAAACTGCAGTTGGCCATGTGGGCGTTCAGAGCCCCCAACCACCATGCCACTTGCCGGCCTTTAAAATTAGTTATGATTAATTGAATTTGAACAGGTGGATAGATATAGAGTGGATTTTGGTGAGGTGATCACATATAAAATAGAATTCAGATTATGGGATTCTTATTGGGGGTTATAAATTAGAGAAGAATGTGAAGGATTTATTCTTTGATGCAGATCTGAAGGCTACTTGTCCTTGACTACCTTGGTTTTAGGGTTTATTTTGACTGCTTTGGATAAGAATTTTTTTTAATAATGGGTGTGTCCCCTTTTTAGATTGCTATTCACTGCCCCCCCCCCCTTTTAGTCCTTTGACTTTCTCAAATACACACAAGATCATGGTGATTTTTCAAAAAGAATTATTTTATTTAGCTCTATGTATGTATGTATGTATTTGAATTTGACCAGAGAGAGAAAGGGAAAGTGAGAAAGCAAGCCACCAGGTCCTGGACTCGGAACTGCAGTTGGCCATGTGAGAGTCCAGTGCCCTTACCCATCGTGCCACCTGCTGGCCCCTGTTGTAATTATTATTTTAAATAATTATTTTATTTAACTTCATTTATTTTAATTTGACCAGAGAGGGACAAAGTGAGAGAGCAAGGGGGAAAGTGAGAAAGTAAGCTGCCAGGTCCAGGACTCAAACCGTGGTCGGCCAGTGGGAGTCCAGTGTCCTTAACCACCACATCACCTGCTGCCTCCCGCATGGTGATTATTAATCAGCAATCTTTGGAGACAGTAAAATAAGGTTGACATTGTCTCAAAAAGTCTTTAACTACCAAGCTGGTATATTTGATGCATTATGTGAGGAGACTTCTAAAAGTCTGTGGGAAAATGGAATTAAAGTACAAGCTTTATTTTGGTGCAAAAGAAAAAAATTGAAATCTCTGCATAGTTTTTATTTCTTTTTTCCCATAATATACATGTTCTATGAACTTTTTGAAGATCCCCTTCATATATTGTAAATCTCATCATCACAAGTGACCCATGGCACACCCAGTGAGTGTATGAAGTGATAACTAAGGAGTGGTCAGTGCTAATGTATCAGGTGTGAACCTGAACAGCAGACAGGATAGGCCGCCACTGCTGTGAGAATCATCACGAAGCCAAAACCTAATTTATTTGCAGGAGCTTTTAGTGTTTTGTTTGTTTGTTTTTGTTTCTTAAGGTTTTTGCATCAGTGTCACACATGCTCACTGGAGAGAGAGAGAGAAAGAGAGAAATCACCCCTGGGGGATGGCCAAGCTGCAAACGTTTCTCCTCTGTTCTCCTCTCCAGATTTTGAGCATGCTCATGCGTGCATACACACAACCACCACCACAACCACTCCCACCCCCTCCCCCACATTATTTCAAGCTGTGGGGTCCAGGACTTGAACTGTGGTTGGCCAGGTAGAAATCCTGTACCTTAATAACCGCACCATTAATTTTAAAGTTAATTCTCAAGAATTAAAATATGTATTCTTATTTCAAAGTTTCTTAATTTGAAAGGGTCAGTCACATGTTTTTCCTATGTATTTGTAAGTGAAACCTACCTATGTATTTGTAGGTGAAACCTAATTTTATTTGCCTTCCTCCTGGGGCTGTTCAGCTGAAATTTTGGCTTGGCATCACCAATAATGCTGGGAAGATGGTAGAATAAGCTCATTTTGAGAGAAATCTTATAAGAATCCATTAAAAGATTGTGATAACAGAAAAATTTTTGCTAGTTGTTTTTTTGCTTTGAATGCTGTATTAGTCAAGTTAGGCTCCCATAACAAATACCATAGAGTGGGTGACTTAAGCAATAGTAATGAACTTTCTCATAGTCCTAGAGGCTAGGAGGGCCAAGGTCAGAATACTGGCATGCTTGGGCTCTGGTGAGGCTCTTCTTGGTTTACATCTTCTTTCTGTGTCTTACATGGCATGATGGGAGTAGTGGATGGGTGGGTTGGGAGAATGTGGTAGTTGGAGATCTCCCTCTTATAAGACCACGGTCCTATCTGATGGGGGTCCTCACCCTTATAGCCCCATTTAACCTTAATTACTGCCTAGGACCCTATTTCTTTGCTAAACTATACTATTACTAGTACAACATAGAGAACAAAAACATCTAGAAAAATAACTCAGTAGATAGTAAAGGGAATGTCAAATACATTATCTAAACTTAGAAAAAGACATTTTTCATAGGAAAGGCAGTATATTAAGAATTATTCCTGGGACTAGCAGTTAGTGTAATGGCTATGTCGCTGGACTCCCATGTAGTCGACCACGGTTTGCATCTCAGACCCGGTGGCTTATAACTCATGCCTGGCGCATGTGTGTTTGTGCCCAAGATCCTGGGAGGAGAATGGAGGAGAAGGGATTGCGGTGTGACCATCCTCCCTGGGGAGTGATTTCTCATTTTCTGTCTCTCTGTCTCTGTCTCTGTCTGGCGAGCGCACACGCCCTATAGCAAAAACCTCTTAAAAAAAAAAAAAGAATTATTTCTGAGCCATGGTGGCTAAGGGTGCTGGGTCTTACATGGCCAAAAACCCTGGACTGATGGCAGCACGAGAAACTGCCAGGTATGTGTGTGCACATGTGTGACCAAAATCCAAAGTGAAGAGAAATGAAAGAAGGGACTGTGACTTGGCCAAGATCCCTGGGGGACACTTTCTCTTTTTGCCCTTCTCCGTCTACCTGTCTCTCTTTCTGGGGAGCATGTATTTCCTCTGACACTTTAAAAAAAAAAAAAAGAATTATTAATTTAATTCCATCTCTTATTACCTTTTCAATTTGACGAGAGAGAGAGAAAGGGAAAGTGAGAAAGCAAGCTCCCAGGTCTGGGATTCAAATTGTGGTCGGCCATGTGGGAATCCAGCACCCTTCTCCGCCATGCCACCTGCCAGCCCCCCCTCTGATATGTTTAAAAAAAATAATTGTTTGGTGCCAGCCCTGCAGTGAAGTGATTAAGCCCTGATACTTGGGAGCTCGATCCCACATGATCAACCATGGTTTTGAATCCTGGTCTCAGTGACTTAGAAAACGTGCTAGGCTAGTGTGTGTGTGCACCCCAGATCCTGATGGGATGGAAAAATGGAGAAAAGGGATTGTATTCCCATGCCCATGGAGCAACACTTTCTCATCTCTGGTGAATGCACATGTCCTCTGGTGAATTAAAGAAGAAAACATTTTAAATCCCAAAGTATTCCATTTCCTGTTTTAGCAAAGAAAAGGTTTTTCTACTGATTACAGGTCAATTTATACTAGTAAAGATTTCTATAGTTGGAATAGGAGAGTTCTTCTTTTTCTTATAAGAAATTTTCATTTAATTTTATTTATCATTATTCTACAGTTTGACCAGAAAGAGAGAGAAAGGAAACCTCCAGGTCCAGGACTAGAACCACAGTCGGCCATGTGGGAGTCCAGCACCTCTACCGCTTGCCAGCCCTAAGAGTTACTTTTTAAACTTTTAATTTGTTAGAGGGCCTGCGTGCTCACTTGAGACAGAGGTAAAGTGAGAGAGGACCCCGCGTGAGGAATGGACACCCTACAATCCCTTCTACCTGTTTTTCTTTTTGGGATTTGAGGCATGCATGCACATATGCTTGGGGTGATTTTCAAGCCACCAGTCCAGGACTCAAAGCGCACAGTCAGCCTTGTGGGATCCAGCCCCCTTTAACCACCATACACTTGGCTGGCCCAAGATGTTCTTATGTTCAGGCATTTTGTTTTTGTCAGGATATTGACAGTTCAGGGAAAACTTGTTAAAAGATGTCTTTGGGGACCAGCAGATGGGATAATGGTTACATCGCTGGGCTTCCGTATAGTTGACTGCATTTCAAGTCCTGGATCTTGCAGCTTAAAACTCACACTGGGTGTGTGTGCGTGCATGCCCAAAATCCCAGTAGAAGAAGGGATTGCTGCTTGGCCATCCCCCTAGGGGGTGATTTCTCATTTTCTGTCTCTCCAGCAAGTGCACACACCTTATAGCAAAAATCTCTATAGAAAAAAATTTTTTTAATTATGATTTTAGATTTACATCTACTCAATGTCTATCATGGTAGGGTACAGTATGGTTTTATTATTTTTACATTTTTATTTATTCTTGTTGTTTTTTTAATATACTACACAGTGCTTGCACACCTCAGAAAGAGACAGAGAAAGACAGAGAGGGAAAGTGCAAAGCAAGCTACCAGGTCCAGGACTTAAAATGTGGTCAGTCAGTGGGAGTCCAGAGCCTCAACTACCATGCTACCAGCAGATGCTGCAGTATGTTTTTAAAACATGCAGATAGTGAATAATAATCATATTAAAGGCACACACATACTCATCTTCTACATTAAACATTGTGGTATTCATGGTTAATAGAATTATTTTATCTTTTTCTTTCTGATTTCTTTTTTTCTTCTTTCTTTCTTACCAGAGATGGAGAGAGAAAGAGAGAGAGAGAAAGCAAGAAACCAAGCTGCCAGAGGGAAAGTGAGAAAGCAAGCCCCGGGAACCAGCAGTTAGCGTAATGGCTATGTTGCTGGACTCCCACGTAGTCGACTGCGGTTCACGTCCCGGACCCGGTGGCTTAAAACTCACGCCGGGCGCGTGTGTGTGCGTGCCCAAGATCCCGAGAGGAGAATGGAGGAGAAGGGATTGCGGCGTGACCATCTCTCCTGGGGGGTGATTTCTCGCTTTCTGTCTCTGTGTCTCTCTCTGTCTGTCTGGCGAGC